CATCAATAAGTCCATTAAGAGAAAATCTTTTCCACCACGATGCGACCAGGCCTTATTTGGGAAACAGGTTGGGAATGATTTTTTTTGGGAATGACACATCATTATGCATAAATCAATGCAATCAATGAATGGCATCAAGCCATATTGCCTCATAGCTCATACTGCTTCTGTACAGTATACTTGAGAACATCTCTCTCAACCGATTCCACAGCATTATCCTTTATGTCGAGCCCAGTCCTTGGATGGCAGTTTCCCTGATTTGTGTAAGAGAGCAAGACCTGAAAATAACTGTCCATCAACAGGTGGCTATCCATCCTTGATAAGGAAGGTGATCAGGAACTGGAACTCTAAATTCTTTGGTTGTGGTGTGAGAGCCCAAGAAGAATCCAGGGCCCCTATAAATCCTGTGTAACTTTTTTTTTCAGCTGATGAAGACCGAGAATGTAAGCTGGAAAATGAGAAAATAGATAAATCATGTGAGATAATGCAACACACAGGAGGCTGTGACATAACCAGAGGGGGCAGTGGACCACCCCCACTCAGAACCCTGAGGGTAGACGGGCAATTGGGCATTGGTGTAAAGAACATTGCAGGGTGGGCTGCCTCTGTTGAATAAAATAAGGGCCGCTGGGCTGGATAAATTTACTGTTGAAAAAAAATTATCTTGGACAATTTCTTCCTCCATTCCCCTGAAATATCAAAAGTTTGCCTCTGACAGTTAATTACAATTACTGAGCAGTTGTTGCCTGAGCTAGTTTTAATTGAGACCAAGTCTACAACTGTAAAAGCCTCCCCCTTGCCCCAATTGAGATTTTGAAAATGATAAAATGGATTGCCCCGCCTACAGCGCCCCCCATCTTGGTAAACAAATAAGAGGTTTGCATACAATTTATCATCTATCTATGATAACATGAGATGCAAGATGTCAGGATTTAGTTCACTGTAGTTACCAGTACTTCAGGAATGGGAGGCACTTGCCACTAACTGTGAAAACCAATCAGACTTGATAAAAGGTGGTGACATTAGGGACCTGGCAACTACAAGGTCATAGTATTTTACTTTGCAGGCCTGATCAAGAAAGAGTTCCATACATGGATATCCTGTGCACAAGCCTACGGCACTTGCCTGAAAAATTCAAGTGTTTTCGAGGTAAATGCTTTAATGTTGTCATTACTAAATTTGACTTTAAGGACGTTATCACTTCTGATGGCTAGTAAACCACAAGGGAAAATTAATGAGGTGTGGATATGGAACTCTTACCCTTGATCAGTTGAGCATACAAATATAGTGTAGGGAAATATTTGCTCAATTTCACGTTACAGGCGTGTATCATAAATCAGGCCTATTATCTTACCTCAGTGACCTGGGATCAATGGATCAACATGCTCCATCTTGCAAACACCTCTTGACTGGTTGTTTTGTTTACACCACGACCATGACAAAATAATTTCACGGAGTGGGTGACGATCACAATCACATCAGATGCGTAGACTTTCCGCATTTGCAGATGGCTTCGTATTTTTTTTTCCACTGACAAAGACGTACTGTATGCTTCTTAAGGATATGACTAGTAGGAGCGATAAAACTACCAAACACTGCATTCGGTAGCTTTGCATGCAGCGCTCATCAACTTTAAATCACATTGCGAGCCTGTAAGTTGCACTGACCAGCTATGTGATAGCGCCCTCTTTTGATATTGGGTACGGGTGGTTGTGTCTGTGGTGCAACCGGAGTAGGCGGCAACCTGACTGTACACTCCTCCAACACCTATTGATATATTTACGCCAAAGGTTTTATGTGAGGTCTGCAAAAAGTAGGTTTTTGCTAGATTATAGCAACTATCTACTCCAAAATGTGAATTAAAGGGAAGCAATTGCCATCAGAACTGTCTAAATTAGGGTGATCTCAAATTGAAGATTTTTTCATTATTGTTGACCATTAGAAAACAAAAGTGGGAAGAGCTGACAAAGATTTTATTTTGTATTATTGTAGATGTATATCTAAACCATATTTTAGCCAAGTTTTGTTACCGTCAGCCCTGAACTAATTAACCCCTTTGAGTTGGGAAACTGATAGAGCTGCCATAAAAATTGAGATCCTCATCCCGCTTTTCAGCTATTATTCTCGGCCCACGCTCGAGCAAACACGGTGAAAGAAGACAGACCCTGGCTCTTGTAAATATGGTAATTGGTCTTTGTGCATAGCCCAGAAATGAAAAGACCGAATTTGTATCATAATCACCAGCTTCACAGTAGTCCCCACTTTGAAAAGAGGCAATGGGAATGCGGAAGCATGAGTAGAGCCACATGCCACCGAACAATGAGCCTTTTCACGGTGTAATTCAAAGCACGCAGAGCACACAGGGCCACAAACTGAAAAATTGCGGTTTGGCAGGTGGCCTTCATGGCCAAGCGAGCCTGGAATTCTCTGAGTCGGCTTTCAGAAAAAAGTTACGGAATGCCTGAGCATATCCTCATCAGCGTCACAAGTTCAGAAATGTATTCATCTATGAGAAGAAACAGTGTTGTAATTGCCTACTATTTTGTCTGCATGAAAAGCCATACTACACTACAGCAATAATATAATCATACCACCTGCACCTGCTTGTGCAATGGTACATGTATACTGAATGGTGAATATTGAATGGTCATCATCTATACATCGAATATTCCAATTGAAATACGATTGATTACTCAACAATCAGGTGACAAGGGACAATACAAGTTAATTAATAGATGTATAAAGTGCATATTCCATACTCTCTAAATCCAACACAGTGAAAAATTACTCTCAAAAGAGTGTGTTTCTTCTAAAACCACTTGGGAAGACTGAAACCACTCTGAAGAGTGAAAACCACTTCAAGAGTGAAAACCTCTCCAAGAGTGAAAACCACTCCAAAGTGAAAACCACTCTTAAAGTAGAGCTATAGATGTGACAACTCTTTTTGAGTAGTCACTTATTCTGTCTCCTTGAACGAATATAAATTTCACTCTTTTGGAGTGGTTTCACACTTTTTAGAGTGATTTTTACTCTTTTAGTGTGAATTATAAGGGACCAACTCTTTTTGAGAGGAGGTTTTTCAATCTTTTACATTTAGAAAGTATATTCATGTTCAAATGCACTGTACAATGAAGACAATGTGGTTCAGCCGAAGACATATAAGGTCGCATCTGGCAGCCGCCAAACGATCCACATCTGCCGAGGTAGCAAAGCCAGAGATCAGGGGTATTGACTTTTGCAGAGAGTAAAACCAGAGAACACAGAGAAAAACCTTTGTAGGAACAGGAGAAAACCAACAAACAACCCCACTCACGTATGGCCAAGGCTGGGAATTGAACCCAGAACCGCAGTGGTAAAGGGCAAGGTTTTGCTCACTAGCCAACTCTGCTACCAATACCAGCTGTAAGATTCATTCAGGTGCGGTGGTGTTTAACATCACAGCTGTAATGTCAGACTTAAGATTCAGATTTGGGTAGTACAGCGAGTGAAAGGCAGGGTAACCTTAGGCAGTGCTGTGACTAAAGGGTTACGGTACCAAACAAGCCTGTGTAAGTTATTATGACAAATTTCAGCAGAGCTTTGCAGGATGTATCTGAATCAAGCAGTCGCCAGCAATCTACGCACCTGTCAGGAACACGAGGTTGGCATCTCCTGGGATGTCTAGCTCCTGTGGGCTCAGGGAGTCTTGGGACCGGTAGGTGACCACATAACCATCCACGGCGCCATGGCGATGGTCTTCAGGAACATTCTATTGGAGATGAAGAAAAAGGAAAAAGCAGGATGGTATCAAGCTTTTGTGGCAATTTTGTTTGTTTTTTTTAGACAGGGTTAATTATCCATTTTGAGTCATCAGAAAGGATAAAAAGGGTGTTTACTGAAGCTCATTGAATCTTGATTGACAAGACTCAAGTGAGACTTCACAGGGACTCTGCAATTTGTGAAGTTACAAGCAATTTGAGTGTCAGATTCAGATTCAATTTGGGGGACTTCAATGACTTCTCAACCCCTGAAATTGTTTAGGTAAAAGCTCCCACGAAACTTTGAAATGTTGATGAAGATTTGCCTGCAAAACCCCAATTCCAGTAGTAAGCAAACTCATCGAGTTTTAGTCTCTACAAATTTCATTTACAGGAGGTTGCAAGCAGTGTGTCAAATCTTTTGACAATCTGTGTTACTGACGTGTAATATGATTTACATTTGTACAAAGCATCCCATACATGCCTAATATACTGTATGTACTAGCTAAATAACTTGGTCTGGGGTCCAACTCGTGCTCGGCAGCCTGTCTTGCAGTTTCACACGTACACAGTGTGTAATTCATGTATACGTTACCTGAACAAAAATGTCTGCTACAGTCCACAATGTTGTCTCTCCGTCTGTTAGTTATTGTACCATCCATGACTTGTGTTAAATATACCGGAACAACTATTATCATTAAATATTTCTTCACAAGATGATGCATGATGTACATTTAGTGTGATACCAGTGAGTATAAACCAACAGACATTAGCTCAAACTACTGTAAACATGTGATTGTGACATTTACATCACCCTCAATGATTGAAAACAGGTATTTTTTCTAAGACAGGTACAAGGGCTTACTGACCTTGGAGTTAGAACCAACAGACAAATGTGGTGTCAGGAATAAGAAAAATTTACTTTTTAAAGTCCACAATATTGAGGGTGTGACATTTTCTCTTTCATTGTAATTTCTTCCCTTAAATTGGAGGGCTTTACAATTTGGAATTGCTTTACCCTACAGAAGCGGCCTTTTTTTCCCTACCAAATATACTTATACTACTGCACTCTTTGGCATATATACCTCTCATGGTGAGTGACCTGCTACGCAGTTGTCTGAATTTCCATGTCAAGGGAAAATGGGTTAAATATGAAAAAGGACTAATAAAAGGGGTGACATTTACATGCAGAAGCCTCAATTGAAAGATTTCTTGTCATCACCTCTGATTTGGACCGAATAACTTATTCCCCGGCCGGGGTGTTGACCAAATCACCAAAAAACCGTCTGGTCTGTGCGGAATGGCACAACGTACACCTGTGTGGGGCGAGGCGGATGAGGAAGGGGGCAAGCCTCATGCATAGACGTGACGACATAAAGGTCGCGCCGGGTTCATGCTGATCCCCAGCCCAGATTTATGGCCTGCTGGCCAGGTACACAAGAATGATTTCTCAGGTGGCTTTGGGAGGAAAGGTGGCCGACCTTTCTACTAGGAACTGGAAACATGCAAATTACACATGGGCTGAGTGCATTGTCCACTGGGGCTCAATTCCCAGCCTCGCCGAAGAGACTATTTCACTTTGTGAGTAATGCTGCTGCTTTATGTGACAAATGCCAAAGGCAAAGTTCTAAAGGTGGTCTCAAGTTAAAACTTGAATTTGCCGACAAAGATTACAGGCTTCCTATTGCACCAATTGCGGCCAAGTGATGAACAGTGGGAAGAGGGCCAATGAAGAGAAGGGACAATTTTTTTTTTTATTACTGTTCTACAACTCAACCAAGAATTCCTAGTAAAGCAAAATCAAATTTTGATCAAGCTTTTGGAAGAATTTAAGGAAGGAAATGAACCAGGTGTGGAGGAAATACCATAGAATTCTCTAAGAAAAGAGACAACCCAAATCATGAAAGGCACCTTTGATCAGCCCCATGGGTCTACACTTTACCAAAAGCTTTATTAGATCAAGCCAGGCCCTAGTTGACTTCCTGGTCTTGCAGTCTAACCCATAAGACCATAGCTGAGCCATGCTGGTTTGTTGCTGTGTCCATGTGCGTGCACAAGAGAGAACTTCTTCACATGTTCTTCTTCAGCAATTTCCCTTAGGCTGGCACTTTGCAAGGAAAATCTTCTACAGATCAATTGGTCTCCAGTTGACCCCTGCATGTCACTAAAATAGACCCCTTGGGTCTATACTGCTGACACTACCTTATTTCTGTCTACACGGTTGATCCAGTACATCTATACATATACATTGTATATCTGAACCAATGGTCTGTGATTAAACCCTGTGAACCTCAAATGATGGTCTTGCAATTAAGCTTGACCTGATGAGCCCCATCATATCGATGGCTCCACGGTTGACTCGTCAGACTGATTTGTTCAAGGAGGTCAGTTCAAAAGCAGTGACGGGATATGGAATAATTACAGAGTGGAAGTGAGGTGAGAAGGGAAGTGTTTCACAAATTTATCCTTAGCAGAGTGACAGGAATAAAAACAAGTGTAGAGGTCACAACCTCTGCAAGATTCTTTGATAACTCAGGACAATATCAGTGTTTGAACTTAGATCCAGGATATGAAACTGGATCACACAAACCCGAGACAGAACTTCAAGTGGATAAAATTGCATTCCCATAGAAACTACGGAAAACAGAAAATAACACCGAAAGAAAACAGACCCAAGTGTTGTGAAGGATCCCTGTCTGGTTGAGGCATCATATTATCGGGTCAAACACAAATGACATGTCTCCACTCATTTGGTCCAGGAATACTGACAGTCATAGTATAGCCAGCATCTATCATTTTCACCAACACTAAGAGAAATTCATCAACCATCAAATATGGAGTGCCATAAATGTTGCCATTTCTCTTTTCCGATGTTGTACGAGTGGTGTTCTACCTTACTACGATGCAAGAAAGAACTCCTAATATCTGTGCAGAGCCACACTTGGCCAAGACTCTGGCCGGATCCTGAAGTTATACAGATCCTTCTTCTTGTTGTTTTTGTTTTAATGGCGCTTGCAGAAACTCAGGCTATTTGCACCAATAACTATACGTTTATTCACACACTTTACTAATCAACATCACATTATAGCAGATCCTTCAAGACATCCTTGAATCGTAGTCTTGGTCATCCTCAAGATACTGACAAATGTTGGCTTATGTGGAAAAGGGTTCACCAGGACGTAATAAACCATGTCCCAGTTACGTGGCTCTGGCTGGCAATAACTATGTGAACCATGCACTGGCTATGATAGGTTCAGCCACTTCTCACAGGCTCTCGTTACTCCCATGGCCACACCCATGGGAGGAAATCTCTCCTCGATCGTGGGGGGGAATTCATTTACACTTTTTTGTGTGTGCACACCATGTTTATGATCTTATTCCATTCTCAAAACTCAAAAGGGAAAATTCCTTTAGTATATTGTTTTGCTTAAAATATGGAAGGACATTAGACATTGTGTTCCCCCCCATACCAAACTTGTGTCCCCCCCGTCCCCTGGGATTTCCGCCCATGACCACAGCCACTTGGGATTGACCCACTGCCACAGTTTGAAGAGAGTTTTCACCCTCTCAAGTGGGTACAAGGCTGAGAACCATCAGGGCAACACTGTCTTGATCAAGCAGCCTCAATTTATTGAAAAAATGAGGGTTAGACCATTCAGACAAATGCAGAAATATTTCAAAAGCATTGAGGCCACTGCCTTTCCCAATATACATTTGCAAGTCCGTTGGGTTTCTAATCATGGCAGTGCAAGCAAACGAACAAGATGGTAAGTGGCACAACAGCTAACTAAAAGCAGATGTACATTGTATGATACATTTGAGGAGTAGAGTTGGAGAAGCTACTAACCGTCAGCTAAGTAAGGACAAAACTTACGTACTTCCAAGCTGCACTAAATTTTGTACTAACATTTGCACTGACATACATGGGAATTAAAGGAAAACAACAAAGAGCTGAGTATACAAAAAAAGTTGCTCTCCTAAAACATGCAAATCATCTTTGGGTAATCATGAGTTGTCATGGTTTGGGTGGATGAAATGCAGAATCACAAATCATGACCGGAAGGCAGTTACAAGTTCCCACTGACTACCGCGCAAGGTTGGCGACTGTGATACCCTAGGGTCTACAGATTTCTACCACCGGTTGAAGCCAGCATGAAGCAGCCACTTGCTCCGGGCACATGTGCCATCTCCTCTGATCCAATGCCGGTCATGAAACATCAGTCAGAGTCCAAGAGACGGCAGGACCCATCTCAAACAACAAAAACTCCCCAGTGGGGGGGAAGGGAAGACTGCTTGCTTCCGGCAGAGTTTCAGAAAGGCCTTTGACAAACCCGGCGCTGAAAAACATGAAAGGAAATCACACTCATAAATCCATTACATTTGATGACCTGCAGCTGTTAAACAGGCAGTGTTGATGGAGTATAAACACTGCCCTGTCTCGCTACACTATTCCACCAGGGAGGATAAAATGAGGTTGTGTTCATCAAACAGTCAAATAAACACCTTTATATCCACTTCAGAAGGAATGCCCTCCAGCTGTGAAAACAACTAATCAAGGAAGGTAACCCTGGGGGGATGACGAGTGAATATGATCATGTGCGTAATTTTATTGACAGAGCTTTGCTCATGCTGTTCTTCATTAAAATGTCTGAGCTCATAAATGCTCGGGAAGCTCTACTAACTGGATTCTCATTCTGTTCAGCTGTAACAATTCTGTGTAGAAATCAATTCCCGATTTTCCGGGCAGAACAGGCAGAAACCGTAATCGACTGACCACCTGCAAACTGTGAATCACTGACATAAGGTCATGCACTGCGCTAAATCTTCGAGCTCAAGAAGGAGTCAGCGTTTGAAATTGACAGTTAATAATGATACCCGACATGGAGTCCCTGAGAAACTCAAGTTGGCAACAACAGGGCCAGATCCACGCTTTTTAAGTGGATTTGCAGTTCTGATTCTCAGTTGAACTCCATTCAATAGTCAACCAAGCCTCTTTGCGTAATTATTCAGC